GGATTTCTGAAGACAGGTGCTGGTCAGAAGGTTTGGGACATGCTTGTTACAAATACACCTGAGATAACAGCAAATGAGGTCGAAGTTCGCATTTTGAATTTATTATGGACCTGTGATAATTCGGCTCTTGACTACTTAGATCAAAAGAGCCAGAAACGCCGTGCTATGCTTTGCATGGATGCAATCCTGGCTGTGTCATCCCGTCCATCCAGTTACAACTTATTGCGTCCAAAGTTTCCAGATTCTCGTGAATACACCTCGATCTGCTCTTTGTGGGAAGATGACAATTTATTTATGCATTTCCTATGTCTAGAGGCCTCCTTGAAACATGATAGAATGCTAGGACAGCTCCAATTTCACATTTCAGATCAAATTGGCTTCTTTCATGATCTATCAACCAAGGTTGACCAGACATTGAGAGACCTTGATGACATGCAGCATATTCTTGACAATTTCTTGCAAGACTATGATGGGTCATGCAAAACTCAAAAAGCAGATATTATGCTCCTTGTCAAGGCATATTTTGATGTGGCAAGATCTAAGGCTCTTGTTCTAAATCATTGGAGAACCCAACTGGAAGATGACACATCTGCCACCAACTATGGTTTTTTATCATGGTACTCTAAATTGAGGCATGAAATCTCATTTCGTCAGAGTTATCACATTCCCTCCCTTCCTGGGGACCAATCTTTGCCTCTCAAAGCTCTTCACATACTGGGGTACCTGCGCCTGCACAAGGTCTTTCCACCACTCCCTGAAATCTCCTACACTATAAATGAAAATGTAAGAAGTTTATCTGAAGCCTGGGTGGTGACAGATGCCTGTCCCACAAGGGATGAGGGTGGTTTTCCAGCCAGGGAAACAGGAATACACATGCCCATTGTCCATCAACAGGGTACATTTCCCCAGTATCAGTCTCGGGAGCTTCGCCCTATATCATCACTACTTGGTCTACTTGATATTGCGGAAGTTCTTAGCCCCATTATTTTCCCAGTGGTGCCGATAAAAGATCATATGTCTTGTAATTGGATGTTGCTTGCAACACGCGACGAGGGTCCATTTAGCCTGCTAGCATCATTCTACGAGGCCTCTGTCGAGGACAAGGGCACAATTGGTGGACTTTTGATACTCCTAACAACGCTCAGAAGATACAAACCTCGGGTGTTTGATTCATCAATTGTTGATAGATGGCTTAAGGTCATCTGCCCATATCTCAAAAGGTGGGACATGCCACTCAACAATGGGTCCCAAATCCTCCTTGTCATCACACTCCTTGAAATTTTGACCTGGAAACGTGATACGCCTTTTGAGGTGTGCTTCCCAATATCTGATAACGTAATCAAAAAACTAATTCGCATCCTGAAATATCGTATTGACAAGGTTCTACCTATAACAATGGCAGAACGGGGGTTAGGAATCATACCTGACTCGGGGAGCTCGGAGGATGGCCGCGTAATGTCAATCTGGATGCGGATGGTTCAATTATTCGAAGAGGCCAATGTCTCTCATTTGTTTTTGTCGACTATATAATAAACATAGCTTGGTTCACAGATTATGTTGTGGTAGCGAGACTTGTGATTGACAGTAAGGTGGCAATTTTTAGAGACTCTGGGAGTGACCTTCTTCGCAACCATGTGACGTTCGGAAGATCCCGACGCTGGGATTCACATCGGTGTGGAAGTGATTTCAAGTTCTAAGGTATGGGATTCAAGTCTACGATATTGTACGCACGAAGTGACGAGGATGCGTCCGAGAACACATGCTCAAGTGGCGTCATAGGGAAGTAGGGGAAACCCAGATCGGATGACGGAGCCCGCGCCTGAGAAGCGGACGCCCACCCCTAAGCAGCGGAATCGCGAAGGAAACTTGCATTTCGAAGTAAGGGGGTAAGGAGTTCTACATACAGAGCAACAAGTTCAAGTGATCGCCAGTGACGTAGAAAGTCTAGCGCCCGAGGATTTCGACGATGTCGGGCAGCACACCGGCCAATAACATAACAGATAAGTGGTGCCTCTGATTCGACAATGGAGAGCTAACCTACCTCCGTTCTGCGAACTTCCAGCTTCAAGCTTCAAGCTTCAAGTTCGAACAACCTGACAGGTGACATTCTTACAGCAAGTTTCAACGACAGCTACATATGAGATTCTGTCGCCCGTGCCTTGGCTGAGTCCCGCTCAAGGTCGAGATCGAGTTCAGCCTTTTGTTTCGAGGACGAAGGTGAAGGAGGGCATGGTACATTGGGTTTGGGTATTGACGTGGATGTAGACGACAACTCACGAGTCTCTCAAGCATGAACACTCCCGCCTCCGCACTCCCGCCTCCGAAAGTTCTTACTTGAAGACGACACGTACCTAGCCAACCTTCGTAGTTTTGCTTCAGGAGGAACTAGCGGACTGTACGTTCGCAACTCCCCCTCTTTTATCCCTTATCTTCGTTATAAATATCCTTTTCCTCCTTACAGCTCGCCGTGTAATCGACCTTCTGAGAGACAAACTGCACCATCTCTCCTCCACACTCGCGGAAACACAGAATTACGTTCGCGAGCTCGAGGACACAAGGCGCGAATCGAGAGAACAAGTAAAATCATTTTTGGAGAAAGTAGAGAAGGAGGCGGACGAGAGAGTGGAGGTTGCGAAGAAAAGGTAGGCTATGTTTGCTGTTATATTTCCATCTTCACTTACTGCAACGTTTGTGTATAGGATGGAGGAGATGGAGGGCGAGTTCAAGACCCTGAGAGAATGTAGGGATGTGTGACTCGTATTCACCTATTTGTCCTTTCGATATATGCATGTTTCTTTAACAGTTAAATTGCACAAGACCTCCGCCTCGAGCACTTGACCAAGAAGCTGCATGAACTTGAAGAAGCTCACAATACGTACGTACTCATTCCCTTTCGCTTTTCTACCGCTCATTTGAACCGCGCTTTGTCACCACAGTACGATCGTCGCCCTTGGTGCTGCTCGCTCCGAACGCACAGAACTGGGAAGAGCAGACGGCGGAATGCTCCGGGTTGCGTGTTTCCCTTTTATCTCTCACACTGTCGTCAGTCACTCACGTAGTTTCAGTTTCACCGAAGCCGAGGAAAAACAGCGTTCTGAAGCGGCAGCTCACGCAAAGAGGTCAGATGCGGCGAAGAAGGCGACTGAGGAGGTGCAAGATAGGTACGATCCTTCTTTATTTTCGTCGGAACGCTGACCGGGCAGTGCGGTTAGTCGAAGACAGACAGAGGCTCAGATAGCAGCTGGTCCTGACGATGTGTCTTTGATCAGGGACGCAGATGATATTCTACTGAAGCTCCTCCAGGGGCGTTTTTATCCGCAGGCGATGATGCTTCGTCTAACCAAGGAGCAGTATGAAGACACCCAGGTGTGCAGGTTTTGCATCCATTATTCCTTCTTCATTATGATATTTGTTATAGAAGCGATTCACGGTGTCCGAAGCTGCGCCGCATTAAGTTTCTCTTCTTCTCTTCCGTCTAACCCAAGACCTTCTTTCTTAGCATGACACACCGTCCACAAGAGGAGAACTTGGCGATTCAGTTGTATGTAAATATTCGAGAGCTGGAATCAAATTTTGCCCATCTCATCAAGGAGGATGAGGAGCTCTTGGGCGGCACAACAAAGTCTATGCCTCGTCGCATTCACGACTTCAGGCCCAAGGGCATGGCCCATTGATGTTGGCCTTACCTGTTCGCCATTGTACGTGTATATCATCGTAATTTTCTCATTATGCTCCATTCTGTAGTATGAAACAGCAATGCCTGTCTAGGACCTCCTGTCCAGTCCCCTCCTACAAAAGCCGTGGTGACGGAACTTCTTGATCCAGCTCCAGTTCCTGCACCCATGACGAAACAAACTTCTGCTTCGGATAAAATATTGAAGACCCCAGCGTTAAAGGAAACCATCGGATCATCGTTCTCAAGTCTTGATGAGTCAGGCTCGGAAGAAGACATACCACTCTCTGAGGGGTCGGCTGCCGCGAAGGTTATGCTGGAGGAAGAGGGACCGAGTATCATCCCCTTTTCAACCTCAGGACGATGACCAACAACCCATTCAGTGCCGGAATTGAACTTGAAGATGCACACACGGTCAAATTGCTTGGTATATCTTTTTTCTTTTTTCGTATTTCGTTTGTATCAAGCTGGTGAGTTCTACTAACGTATTCCTCTTGTCCTCTGTTTCAGGGGAATGACGCTGCCGCCACAGAAGAAGGCACAATCGAGATTTATCATTAGCTGGTTCGAAAGGCCTAGTCTGCACTCTCCTGTTGCCTTCAGGCCGCAGACGGTGACACAAAGCCCAAGAGGAAATGCAAGTGATGTGGATCAGTAGTAGGATTGTCTGTTCCCCTTTTGTATCGTTGTTGACATTTTGTCTGTTCTCTTCGTGGTGTGTTATTTCTGTATTCCCTTTACTGATGTGAATCACAATAGGATTTCATCATGTTGACATGTGGGATGGCCTTATGCATGGTGGTGTAAAGAGTCTCGATCTAAGCCCGCATTTACACGGTAGTTTGGGAGGGAATCTGGCAAGATTACACTACCCGCGAGCTTCGTACTCAACCACATGAGCGAAAACACCTTCACGGTCCCTAGATAGAAAAGATTTGATGACCTTAAAGTCAATTGTTGACCTTACATATACCGTTAATGATGAAGTCTTGCAAGCAGCTCCTCAGGCCCAGCGTCTTTTACGTTCTGTGTGAGGGACATCACAATCCTCCAACAGTTTTGATGCGCTCATTACATTTACGCGGAAAGCATGGCGGGCGGTACACAAGAAGCCCACATCAGTTTATCTCGCGCGGACGGGAGTTGCAATTTCTTGAAGCTAAAGTCTGCTGAAACCTCGGAGTATGGTGTACTTACTGCTGAGAATGGTCATTATCGAGAAATATTGCACACCAAGAGTCAATTAGATTGTATAAAAACAGTGGCCCCGTAACATTCAGGAAGACACAAAAGAAAATTGGGCTAAGACCACCGCGCCGTACCTCAGTGCATTAAGAGAGAATCGAACTCCCGGCGGGTCGAGTATCAAGTGTTAACACTTCGATGGCAACGACCCAGGTTACCACTACCCCATTAATGCGCGATAAGACTGATGATTACATTGAAGACATGATCCAGAGAGCTGTTAATATTAGCCTAGTAGCGGTGCTTTTGGAGCATCGAACATCTGACGGACTGAATTAATGTATGCAGATCTTCATGCACACGTACCTTGCCAACATCCCAATGGCATGTGTTATGCATGTGGATGTGCCGCGGTTGACGCTCGGCCTGGCTCGTCCAGCTTGTTGGGAACTTGGTGACCGCTCGCGTTTTGAATTTCGGACAGTGCCGAACCGCCCCTGATTCTCACTGTCCTCGCCGTTTACTTATTGAAATCTCTAGCTTGTTTCAGTCGTGTAGCGTTTAAGTAACGAAATTGCCTGTTTTGCGGCGGTCACTGGCATTTCAAACCCATATGGCCTGTGTCTTCAAGTCCCCATATGTATGAAACATGGACTACTTTGTGCGTCTTGATTTTGATTTTTCCATCCAGAAAGCGCACCGACATGCGCAGCGTAGCACAAGAGCCCTAGTTCAGCCAACAACAGCCAACAAGAGTGCTCTTTTTCTTCTCCATGTTACCCTATGGAGCGCATATCTCCAGCTTGCATTTTCTCGTTGGTCTCCGTCCACACCTCCGCCCTTATACCTTCTCCCATCCCCGGTCTGCTCAAATTCAAGATCGATCTCGTCTACTTCGATAATGTTCTATGTTAAATGGCAACAAGTAAATAAGTTAAAACGATCTGCCGGGATCGACATCAATTTAATGTCCTAGGGACTGTTCATAGCGTTGAAGATTGTCTGAACCATGAAACAGCATTCGGTACGAGCGCTCAACGTCTTACACGTGTTTCAATCAATGCTACTCACCGTTTTTCTTTTGATCGACACCATCTTCTTTGCCGCTTTTTGCTGGTTCGTCTTACCCATATCGCTTCTTGGCCTTCTTTTTAGTCCGCGGAATCGGCTTTCGATACCTAGGTTATATCTTCTGGCTCGCACTGGCTACATGATATCTACGATAATGAGTGAATAATGAGTGTCTACCTCCAACTCCAGAAAGTCTTTCTCCGGTCCTCTCAACATAGCAATCGACTTATGGTAGCAAGGTCGGTATAAAAAACTAGTGTCTTGTATTTTCTGCTGTGATCAATAACGCTTCATCTTGAAAACAAGTGCACATCTCAACACACTTTCCGGCATCGGTCTTGCTACCGGCATGAATTTACCTCGTCTACACCAAATGTTAAGTGCTCCAGAGCTCGTACTCGTGGCTCCTGTCGCCCGCGCGTCGGGGAGAATTACTCAATGACGAGGGCTGAGGGTCGTCAGAGTTGATGACCATGTTTTTGCAGAGGAAGTCATAGGAACAATGCCGGGGTACAGATGATGTATCTGGGTAAATATGAATGCCAACTCTGCCATGAATGTGCTCAGGTACGCTTTAAAAATCCTCTGTCCAAGATTTGGAAGACCCCAGCTAAGGAGAAAACATGTCTTCAGATTCGTGCTTCCAGCGGTTTGAGTGAGCTAGTCACCCTTGGTATCGGGTTCGTCAAGAAACGCCATGTAATCTCTTGTCCCAAGGTCGTTCATGATGTCAGCAGAGGCCTAGAACGATATCCCATCTATCGAGTTCGGTTCGTCAAGTGTTGAGGATGTCGTTTCAGTATTTGATTAATCGTGTTGGCAAGTATTGCTGACCCTTTTCGCTTACACTGTATATCTGCCAGTCGAGCGACGATTACTTCTTGGACATAAGTGTAAGTATCCGATCGAAGGTGCGTCAATCATGCGTAACTCTTTACTTAGCTTGTAGGGTTTCGGCACAAGTATCCCCCCAACACAGATAACAGTACAATACTTTTCTCTAAGGGTGCAGTAAGTTTCGTTTGCCGTTGCTTTTCTATGTTGTATTCTTATACGTGCTTTTGTTGATTATTCTCATTCAAAGCGTTGGCTCAAGCCAAACTTAACTACGCCTGAAGTTTGAACCTCACATACAATTATAGGGATGATTTCCTCCCCAGACTTCCGAACAATGAGATCAATCTTCATTGATCAACGCCGCTAGGAAAATAACTATCATTCGAATGGGACAATGTATGTGCTGCACGTAAGGCAGAATCGGAGTAACAAGTCAATCATCGCGCTCTAAAAACCTTCGTCGTAACCGCCCTTCGCGTGCGAGTTGTATACAACGATCTTCTCGAGTCTGTTCATCAATAATTGTGTGCAATTGGGGTGTGTTTCCTTAGGGATCGGAGTATTCACACCACCATTGATGGTAACATCTACAAATGACTAACAAGTGCAAGAAGGTTCATGTAATGGCCCGATAAGATAAATGATTCCACATACTTTCTTGACAGTTCTGAGGGATTGCGGCATGAACGGATGACAATTAAATTGGTCACTGTCATCTTTCCTTATTATGATGAATCATAATAAGTACTTTGTCAACATGTCAAATAACTGCGTTCCGGAGAAATCCGCTCTTTGCTTTTTGTTATCAAAGTTTGATCAAAGTCCCTACAGCCATCTTCCCTTTCTACGGGGCTACTGTAAATAGCATCTCGTGGTACTTGCATCAGGTTTTTGCTGACAACACTCCAATCTCCAGGACACACTCAATTTTGTTGACAAGTATGGGTACTTCGCTCAGCATAATTTTTCCAAAGAAAGGCGAGAATTTACCTACTGCAACACAATTTGTGGGCGATGAAGATGTAGGTGTTTCTCATTCTGTTTGTCAAATTTTCTGCCAATGGATAAGCAGATACCCAAAATACCCAGACGACAGCTCCCCATTAATAGGAATTATGACGAGCAGGCAAAGCAATTCTGGACCCTCTATGTGAACGAGGCCGAGCAGGATGATAAATATCTCACGGAAACATGGAAGTCTGATATGGATAGTACCCTTATTTTTGTGAGTTGTTTTTAATATGTGTACATCTGACGCAAATTATCCGCCATTTTATCTCAGGCTGGTCTTTTTTCTGCTGCAGTCACCGCTTTCATCATTGAAAGCTATAAACTCTTGCAAGTTGACTCCAGTGATGTCACAAACAACCTTCTTGAACAGATTCTGGCAGTACAAATTGTCGGAGCGTCTTTAAACACGTCTGCTATACCCCTCGCTACTGCTGTGCCCACTCCATCATTTAAACCCTCAGCTTCAGCAGTCATCATCAATGTCCTTTGGTTCCTCAGCCTTTCCTGCAGTCTTGCAGCAGCTTTATGTGCAACACTTGTCCAACAGTGGACTAGGGACTATTTACAACGAATTAACCGAAGCAATCAACCCCAGAGGCGCGGAACAATGAGAGGAATTATGTTCCACGGCACCATCAAGTGGAAAATGAATGATGTTGTTGACAATATCCCGTCACTTCTCCATCTATCCCTGTTTTCCTTCTTTGCTGGATTGTGTATTTTCCTGTACACAATTAACAATGTCACAGCTGGGGTGGTATTGGTTATCGTTGCTGGCTGTCTCGTATTCTATATGTTCGCCACCTTTGCACCTGTTTGGGACCCATCTGCGCCTTATGAAACACCTCTCTCAGCTCTCCTTTGGAAGATAAAACAATGTCTCGCTGCCATACTTGGTACTGTGAAACAGAAGGACTTAGAAGAGGCACGGGAAGCATTGGTATTATCACCAGTCGACGACCTATCTGTACACGAACATATCCAGGCCGTTTCCTGGTTGTACGATCGAACCATCGATGACAGCGAGCTTGAAAAGCTTGTAGTAGCCATACCTGGATTTTTGAACACAGATGACGGTCGCAAGGCTTGGGAAGTGTTTTTTACAAACGCACCTGAGACAGCAAAGGAGGTCGAAGACCGTATTCTGGATTTATTAGAGACCTGTACTGAATCAGCTCGGAACTACTTGGATCGAAAAAGCCAGAAACGCCGAGCGATGCTTTGCATGGATGCAATGCTAGCTATGTCATCCCTTCCCCATTTCAGTAACAGGTCATCGAGTTCAAACGCGCCTGTAGATTTCTGGATTTATCCTTCGTGGAAAGACGATGACGTATTAGCCACGCAGTTTCTCTGTCTGGAAGCTACCTTCATTTTGAACAGACTCAGAGCTCGGCTGCAACTTGTCAATTCGGATGAAATCGGTTGTTTTCGTTCTCTATCGGCCAAGGCTGACCAGTCACTGAGAGACCTCGACGATATGCAACATATTCTCATCAACTTCTTGCAAGACTACGATGGGTCGTGCAAGACTCAACAAGCAGATATCATGCTCCTTGTCAAGGCATATTTTGATGTGGCGAAATCCAAAGCTATTGTTCTATATCCTTCAACTCCCGACGCGATGAGAGACTTAGAAGTCGACCACTATGGTTTCTTATCATGGTACCTTCCCTTGTTTCGTAAAATCCAACTCTTACTATCAGACTGCCATGTTCCTTCCCTCACCGGGGATCAAGCTCTTCCTCTCAAAGCTCTTCAAATACTGGGATACCTGCGCCTGCACAAGGTCTTTCCACCACTCCCTGAAATATCCTATACTCTACATGAAAATGTAAAAGGTCTTTCTGAAGCTTGGGTGGTTACCGATGATGCCTGCCCCACAAGGGATGAGGGTGGTTTTCCAGCCAGGGAAACGGGACTACACATGCCCATTGTACATCGCCAGGGTACTTTCCCGCAGTATCTGTCTCAAGAGCTTCATCCTATATCATCACTACTTGGTCTGCTTGATATTGCGGAAGTTCCTAGCCCCATTACATCCCCAGTGGTGCCGATAAATGATCATATGTCTTGTAATTGGATGTTGCTTGCAACACGCGACGAGGGTCCATTTAGCCTGCTAGCATCATTCTACGAGGCCTCTGTCGAGGACAAGGGCACAATTGGTGGACTTTTGATACTCCTAACAACGCTCAGAAGATACAAACCTCGGGTCTTCGATTCATCAATTGTTGATAAATGGCTCAAGATCATCTGTCCGTATCTCTTAAATTGGCAGCCACTTAACACGGGCTCCCAATTCCTCCTTGTCGT